GTCAGGTTGTTTTGCTTTATAAAATGAACTATCCCATGACTTGGGACTTGAAAAATTCGCTGCGGCCGCACGATGCCACCTACCTCTCATTGGCTATGTCTTTTTAATTACCGAGTAATCTTAGGGCGGTTGTGAGATTAGAACCGGTGAGTCATGCATAGCAACGGAAGTCTAGGTAAGAAGAAGGTTAATATTCGGATATAGTGGAGATATATGGATGCTTACAGTAAGATTGAGGTTGATAAAAGACGGGTTAACCCGTAGTTTCAGCGACGCTGTAGAACTAAGGAAAATTTTTAGATATTTATTGTCATCAACCACGTTATACATGACGGCATTCATTTTGCCATAATTATTTTTAATGATTCTAGAATAAAGTTTTGATGGTGTCGCTACAGTGCTGCTACAGCGTGCCGCCAAAAAAGGTCAATTTCAGCTCTCGTTTCTACTGTATATCTGATATACTATCCATTTCCCGCCACCTTCCCCACCTTTCTCGGTGTCTTATGTTTATTCAGTTTCCATCTGATCTTATGCAAATTTTTCGCGCATAACCTGAGTCTATTATACTTTTTCTCACCCTCTCCCATTGTTTATCCCATGCCAACACACCCGATCTTTATGGATATTAACCTAGGTTTTCATGTTTCTTTCATCAGGTGGGTACTATAATATCAAGTAAAAGCGCAATGGATAATGCACATTTAAGGATGTTTTTGGGCTTGTTAGCACCACTGCTCCTAATGCTTTTCGACCATCTAAGAACTACAAAGGTCTCTCCCAAACCCTACTTAAAGCAAGCAATTTTCTAAAAACTCTTTCACTTGACGACCCATGTATAATATTCCGAATAACTTGCCAGGGTGTTTAGAAATTCCGTAAATTTTTAAATTTCCGGTTCACTCAAAGCCCTTTCCCTCAAATTTCAACAAAAGAATTTGGACTAATTTGCATAAAGTATCTGTTTTCGCGCTCTTTTCGCACACCTGTTTGGTCCGCTCTGTTTCAACAAATATGCGTCAAATTAGTGGCGACCTGCAAAACATCGCGCTCCGTTGGAGTTCAGACAGGGCTTGTAATGCAAGATGGATGTGCAATGAGTGCATTCAGGGGATTTGTGGTCTAGCCGAGCTTGGAATTTTAGAGAATTGGCAAAGAAAAGAACAATAAAGTTAAAAATATATACTATCCTCAGAAAAACTATCCTGCCTATAAAAGTTGGCGCACCTACAAAGCAGACATTGGGTTCAAAAAATTCCATGATACTCAATTTCGAACCGGCATGTCAAAGTTTACTTAAGGAGACATTTTATACGCAAGATTAGACCATGGAAAAAATTTACTATAAAACATTTTCCGTTGGAAAAATTGATCTTGACTAACCACAGCGATTCTTTGAATACACAACGCTCGCTTCTTGCACATGCCCAAAGACTCATTCATTCGTATGGAGTAAAAATTTCTGTAATGGAGACATGTTATACGAAAGATTTTGCAATCCTTATATTACACATAGTTTCAGGTGGCAATTAGATTTCCAGGGTGCGATAGCCTCAAGTAAAGCTGCATGGGCATGTAGTCTGTTGCACAACGACAACTGGCAAACCTTTGAATGCTGGATTATGGCACAAGACATTTCTTTTGGCCGCTTTTTGGCCGATTTTTTAAGCGTTTCCTTCTGATAAGTAGTATAATATAAAATCTACGGCAATACAGATTTAATACAAACTGCGTCTGCCGTTTTCAATAACCAAATACGGTCATTTCCCATTGACTGGGCGCATTACACAACAATTGCATAAGATGGCATCCACAGGTGTGTAAATTAATTTGCTGGATGCATATCTGCGAGCCATCCCCGCCACTTTGGTATGCAAATAAAGGTCAGCGACGCATTAGTTGTGAGGTTAAGAAGGTCAACAGGATTGTGGCTTGGGTGAGGGATTAATAGGAGGTAAAATACGTCAATTAAATTTTGTTTATTTCTTAAATATTCAAGTTTTTGAAATTTGAATATTCAAATTTTTGTAATTTGAATATTCAAATTTAGAAAGTCTCTGTAAAAAATTAACGAAATTTCTCTGATTTTTCAAACACAAAAAAAATTTTTTTGCCGGTTTATGTACCGATTTTAAATATTCAAATTATTAATTTCACAACATTCAAATTAGCCATTTGCCCAGCGGCAAAGCGCCTTTGAGCCGAGTGCATTAGCACTCCCAACTCCTTGATGAGCCACTTGTTTCTCTCCGATCGAGCCATTTGGCCCGGATCTCCTCAAATTAGCACCCTATTGAGGAGAAAAGTACATACATTATCAGGGTACATGAAAATTTGAATCCAAAAAATCTCGAGTAATTACGTAGTGGGAATAACACGTTTTCACCGTTAAAAAGGAATATACAATTTATAAAAAAAAGAAAAATTAATTTTTTCAAAAATTTCAAATATTTTTTTTTTCAAAAAAAATCCGTTTTCAAAGTCTCAAAAGGTTATGATTTTTCGTCGCCGCGCAAAAAATGGAATTAGAAACCCGCCAATCAGGCCGATAATCGCTCCCTGGAGTGCGGTTCCGAGGTCAGAATCTTCCCCCCATTTTTGGAACGTTCTTGTGAAAAAAAATCCAATGACCTTTTGAGGAGGAAGGGGGGATCCGTCGGAATGATGCTGTTTATTTTACTATATTCCCACTGGTTGGTGGATTTACTGGCATCAAAAAATTTTCGAGGGAAGAATTTTGAGAAGAAATGGGGGTTTAGGGAAAGTTAATTTTGAAATTTATGTAAATTTTCTAAATTTATGCAAATTATTTTTTGAAAAATTTGCATATAGGATATCTAAAAAAATTTTAAATGCATTAAAACAATTTTTAACCCAAAAAAATTACTTTTATTTTCATAAATTTCGAAATTTTCAAAAAATCTTTTTAAAAAATACAATAAAATTAAAAAAAAAAATATGTCACCACAAAAAATTATAGGTTCACAGTACTGTGTAATATCTAAATTTGTCCATTTTTGATCTTCTATTTTATTTTTGGCCGAATTAAGCCCAATAAATCATCTTCGATAACCACTTCATCATTAATCTAACTTTTTTTTGATATCCGCGGAAATTATAAATAATTTACACGAACCCCCCAAAACTTCCTCAAATTTTCTCTAATTCAAATTATTTTCAGATTCGACAGCCAAAAAATGGATTTTTCAAGTCAAAACGAGATTTTTTTTGATATTTTCATCCAAACTACATATTGCGCATTTCCGGTCCAGACGCTCAAATCATCAATTCCAGCCCACTACCATGCCCATAAAGGAAGACAATGGACTGAGAAAGTTGTGAAAGTTCCTGGACTGGGAATCCCCGCGCCTTTATCTTCTCCATGCGCTTTATATCACGCTAAATTCATAATGAACCGCTCCCAAAAATATATTCCCCAAGACGCCCGGAGGCAATGTAAATGTCGTAAACAGCATGGTAAACTGGTTCGTACTGTTTCCCAGCAGGAACTCTTGCCAAATGTGTGGTTTCATTAGGCATAGTGCACAGACATGCGGCCTGTTTCGCGGAGAGTTAAGTAAATTAGCTCAAAAAACATTAGGAAACAGTAGGCGATATGACTCGGCAAGTTGTAAAAGCTATTTTGCAAGGCCTTTGAAGTGGCTTCTTTTCACATTCGGCATAAAATACGAGAAACTCGGCCATTTATTTTACCGGAGGTGGATGCCCATGGGTAAGGTGCCTGGATATCTTGAGAATGCTGGATTTTCACGCGCTTTTCTGTCAAAAAAGTCTCTAGCATCTCGATGCGATTTTTCTGACCTTCTTGTAACTATTAACCTATATTTTTGACAATATTTCACCCTAAAATACGATTTTTATAAAATTTCAAAATTCGTATTTTAGGACTCAAAGTTTTTATTAGTAGCTCTAAAGGGTCTAAAAAAATTTTTAACTTGTTTTAATGGGGTTTACTACTATCTAAAGCTGATTTTCCTCTCAATTTGTCTTTTTCTCCCTCGGTTTCCGAAATATTTGCCCATCCCGAAGGTATGTCCAAAGATTTCGAATCCATAATATCCCCCAGCTGAATCACACGCCAAATGATTAGTTTTATTTCGTATTACATAAAAACGCGCGTTAGAGGTTGATTTTTAATGGCCTATAATCAAATGTTTACCGAAGGGCGAGGGAAAGGGGGATTTTTGAATTTTCGCGGCAGAATCGATTGAAATTCTAGGAAATTTGGAAAAGCATAAGTTAGTTAGATAGAATAGACTGTTCTCAATGCAATAATGAGCATCTAAGTTTTTAAATAACTCTGTAATCACTTAAGAGTTAGCAACAGACAAACCTTCTAGGAGAATATGGGTAGCTTGACTTCAAACTGCCATAACTTTGTAGCCAGAACCGTGCTGGTCGAAACCCGATACTTTATTGATACGAAATACTATAATAAATACCACAGACCACAAACAGTTTTTATGCCTTGTGCGTTTTGACGTGCAAACCTGTTTCCGTAGTGAAGTTTGGAAATTCATGACTAGGTCATTTTTAATATACAAAAAGTGCTAGAAACCATTTCCAAATAAAGTAAACTTGACAATTACAGTATCTACGTGCAGATTAATGTCTGCCAAGTCTATTGAGGGCTACCGGATACTGTAGATGTTAGAGAATTTGCATGAATATTGAAAAATATACAGATCAGCTCTGAACGGCATATTTTTGTTCAAAATTAGCATAAATTAAGATTTTTAAAGGTCTACGGAAGTTCACAAGACTACTAGTTACCAATAAATAGAAGGTTATTATCTTACATTCCCTAATCTAGTCCAAAGCCCCCAAAAATCCGGAAAAATGAGCGAAAATTCTTTGAAAACCCTCTCTTCTGGAGTTACCGACTGGTCTTGGACATTTTTCGGTTGAATATATTCGGAATCGGGCATTCCATCGGTGTTTTGTGTTCCGCTCTCCTCTTTTTTTCGAAATTCGTTTCTTTACAATCGCCCAGCCCTCCATTCATGGGGTTGGGGAGTCCTTTGAAAATTCGGTCCTTTGAAGGAATTGCGGTTTTTTGTTTCCAAGCCCGGTCCTTTCAGGCGGCCGTTGTGCGCCTTGAATGGGGCATTCAAAAGGGGGGACTTGAGCTTTCGGATGCTGGGATGACCCCGCCCCGCTCTGGGCGGGGCAGGCTCCGGATCCGTGCGGATTGGAATGAGTAATTGATAAGTGATAGCTGATAGCTAAAGTAATATCGGAAACTAAAGATTTTCCGAACCTACCTTTGCCATATGCGCTATAGCGTGGTTTCTATGTAAAATACGTTTATCTTGTAGTTCATATCTTTAATAAATTTTGATTTGAAAGCCAAAAATTAGCCTTCTGGCCGTCAAAAGTTGTACAGGCCTTAAGTACAATATTTAGATGTTTAATCCTTTCTTGCGCAATAACAGTAATAATTAAGGCATTATAAATTTCAATAAGGCCCTCCACAACAAAATAGAGGCGAAAACGCTTTGAATATTTTGAAAATTTGCATAATTTCACAGTAAATTACAAAAACTTCAGATTTGAAGAGTCAAGTTTGAAATATGCAAATCGCTTGTACTACAGTAGTTCCCAAGTTATAAATCTTTTTTCTACCGTAAAACAAAACGTCCGGTGCGCATTTTTCGGACCGTGACTTGCAACAATTTCGTCCGAAATTGATTATATTAACCATGACAAATGCTGACAACCAACCGGTTCCTTTTTTCCCCCCGTCGTCATCCTTTCCGGGGGCCCCCACCGACGGCGCGCAGCAGCCGTATGACCTGTCAAGCCGCTGGAAAAAATGCAGGAGTTTGTCGATAAGCCGAAGGGAATCTTCTTTGGCGGGCTTAATCCACTTGTCAAGAGTCATTGTGTTCGATGGTGTTATGAGGTTATTGGTGAGAGGAGGGTGGAAATCCTCTGTTTTTGAGGGTTTAATGCGTGTTTGGCGGGGCTGTAAATCGCTTAAGAAGTGTTTTTATGGATTTTGAGGCATTTCAATTATCTTTAATTTATGCAAATTTTGTATGACTTTTGGCAAATTTTGAAATTTGAATAATTTGGTTATGCCGTGTAGTGTCTGGTAAAGACGTTACAGGTATTTTTTGTCGTCTATTTTACGCTTTACGTCGTTTTTAGAAAGTTTTGAGACTTTTAATCCGTTTTTGGGTCCCATTTTAAAGTTATCATATCTCGATGATTATTGATGTTATGGATCCACCTTCAAACACATTTTTATTGATTCTGTGCGTAGTTTTACAGATGACATACATTTTGTTTTAATCTTTTTATCTGCTTCCTTAAAATCCATGTTATCCATGGCCTTGGTTAATAAGCCGACTCTCCAAATTCATAATTTTAAGGCGTGTTTTCGGAGGTTTCGGTTACTCCGGAATTTTCGAAAAGCCTTCTGTTGCCAAGTAGTATCCATAATGAAATTAGTCGAGCAGCGTTTTCGTCTTTTTTCAGCGAAATTTTAATGAAATTTTTTTCGGAATAATTAGGCCGGATTTGATTGGAAATAGAGCCGCTGTGGTCTTTAGTGATGTGCTACGGATTTTTAATACAGATTTAAAATACACACGCCGTATTTTGCAACGTTTGCAAGACATTTCTGAGCTGATTTTTGATAGAATTATGCGTTTTTTAAATACTTTTTCCAAAATTTTTATTTTTTTGTCTACTACAATAAGAAACTGATATTTCCCCTTTGACGGCTCCGTCCCGAATTTGTTCTTTGGCCGATCTGTTCCGTATATCCTTGTCTATCCGGAAAGACAAACTTTGGCGAAACCCCGCACGCCCGTAGGGCCTTAGCGCCCAATTAACGCCGCTATTCAGAAATTCCGGCGACCAAATTTTTTATGTACCCCAAAAAACATATTTTTTCGGAGTCCGATTTGTGTGATCATGCATGTCGAGAGTGTGATTAATGTGGGCGAAGGAAGAGAGCGGGGGGATCCGAAAAGGGAAGGCGAGGAGGGCGAGCAGCCAATCCGCGAAAGGGCCGGCAAAGTTGGAAGCCTTGGGAAAATGGGGAGAAGTAGGGACGGGGGCATAAAGCGGGGGACGGGGGCACAAGAGAGGAGGGGGGTCCGAGATTTGCCCCGCCTATATTTGGAGTTGTGGGGTTTAGAGAGCTTAGAGCCGACTCATGGGACTTGATTCGAACGTGAGAAATCAGCAAAAATGAAGGCAAAATACGCATCTTTGCAGAAGCCGACATATAAAACATTGTGGGTTCCGGGGTTGTTTTATTCAAATCTCGAGTTTTGACATCTGCATTGTACACCAAAAATATTTGTTTTTAATTTGGTTCATAAAACTTTAAGGCTATTTTTTTGATTTACGAAAAAATCAGAGCAAATTCAGAACAGTGTAAATTATTTTTTATGCATTAAAAAAATGTTAATTACTTGTAATTTACAAATTATTTTTGATTTTTCTCACCTTATTTTCGGATAAAATCTCTCCAGACTAACTCCCACAAAGAAAACAAATTTTGATTTCGTCTTTTTGCCCTTCTTCTATAGGATCCAAACACGCTAATCAACTCAATATTCTACTTCCGCTATCTGCCGTCAGTTGAAATTTGCACTTTTCCGCCTACCGTAGCCCAAAATCCCATAATAATTTTTTACGACCGCCGGCTTCCGAAAACTCCCCCACCTCGTTTTCCCAGCGTCAACAAGCTGTAGATAAAGCGAGTCTCGATCTTGCTCCGGAACAATGGTTATAAGATCAAGCCCAAAGATTTATGGTATCCGTTGGATTACTTGTTGCTAGAAGTTAGAAATCCCGGTTGGATATGAATTTTGAAAGTCAATGCGGGGTTGTAGGTGAGGCTAGCGGATAGTGAGGGTCAGAAAAACGAGGTTTTTCGGGTTAAAATTGGGGAAAACCCGGGTTCTCCGGCTGCAGAGACGTTTTATAGACCTGAATTTTTTTTTGACAAACAACTTGTGGTATTTTAAAGGACATGTCTGATTTTAGATTTTCAGAGGAAAGCAATAATTCAAATTTTTTCAAAAAGAACAAAAAATTCCCCGGTCTTTCATTTTTACCCCCACTTTTCACCATCTGTTAAGCAAAACTTTTTTAGTCCCCCCTTACCCAAGCCTCCCCGAAAATCCCCCCTTTCTCTTCCAATCTGCCCCATATTCCACCGTATGCCCCGTTGCCTTCCCCACTCTTGAACTCCGCCCCAAAAAAACGGCCGGGGCCTCCTGTTGCGTCCCCTCCGCTCTGTCGCGGTCTCGCCCACTCTCCTCTTGCCGCGCGCTCTCTCGCCGCTTTTGCCGTGTTGCGGCGAGGCCCCGCCCCCTTTCGCGGCGCCATTCAAGGGAGGCCTTCGGGGAAGCGTTGGGGGGACTTTTTTGGGATCTTTTTTCCTTCTCCACTCTCGATGTGAATAGCTTTAACAATTGGGGCTCACAATGACATATTATACTAGACTTTGGAGCCCTTTGCTCGACGAAACTGAATGGGTGCGGGCGCGGGGAGAGCCCGATTCCGCTTCGTTCTTTGTTTCAATTGTTGGTCGATTAATTTCCGTTGTTGTTGCGACAAGATTATGGGGTGTTGCGGCTCATAGATTACTGGAATTTGTTTATTTACCAATTCTCGCGGATTAGGGGTTGCAAAACAGAGATTCCAAGAAGGATTTACGGGAACGGATAAGGTTTGAAACCTTGGGGGCAGCGGATAAACATGTTTTCAAAATGAGTTCCATGCAGCTTTTTAGGCGGCTAAGCGCGAAGATTTCTAATTCTATCCCAAATTTTGGTGTTTTTTAAAGATCTTCGTGAAAACGACACGTATGACGGAGATTTACGGATACAAAATTGTTTCGAAATTGTTGACGCTGCCCTGAAGTTTCAGCATCAACTCTAAGGGGTTTAGGATTATCCTTCTCTTTTATTTTATAAGCATTTTTGCCAAAATTTCCCAATTTTTCTCCGTTTTTTGCTAAAAAACCGCAATTTTACCTGAATCGTAACTGAAATATGAACGTTTTAAGACACCACTTAGATTGTCAACTGCATATACGTTCGTCCCGATTATTTCTCTCACTCTTAGCTAATTGTATTCTACAATTTTTACCTCAAAACCCCCATTTTCATCACCTTGTCGGGTTTTTCTCATCATAACTTTGAATCCTTGTGACAGAACTTTCTTAATCCCCTCGTACAGTCTTCTGACACCTCTCTTGATATGTGTATAGTGAAATTTCTGCTTTTACTGCATTGTAAAATAAAATATTTTTGAACTTAAAATTTTCTCTTGAAAAGCGGAATTTTTTTTGGTAATAGGGGAAAAAGGGGGTGTTATTGTAAATTATCTTTGTTAAAAATGTTGTGTATGCCGGTAGAATGGCTCAGAGTGTCATAGCAAGAATTTATGCAAAGTGAAATTGTGATTTTTTGAGGAAATTTCAGTTTTTTTGGGGATTTTGATGATTTTGAAAGACTATCTTGAAGGCTTCTTTTCATTAACTTACTTGTAATTTAGAAATTTAGAATGTAGTTTATAGGATATTTTGTGACTTACACTTACCACAATTGCTAAAAAAATCGAAATTTACCCCAATTTACATCCCTTCCGCACTCTTACATTTAACCCCTGCAGGCCCTTAAAATAATATTTGTACCCGAAATTTGAGCCACACGTCGAATTGTTTCGTAGCCGGTGTAACGCGGCGCTGCATACCGCTACAAGTCTTAAGTGCGGTACAATTGCACATATGGCGGCGAGTTTTTTTTTCAATTTGTAGCAGTAATAAGTTGAACCCAATGGACCCGGGTAAATTGGCGAATTTTGCGAAATTGCAACGAATTTTTGTGTTGAGTTGTATTATAAATTACTGTGAAAGAAATTTGAAATGTTTATGACGTTTTTTGCTATCCGAAAAACTATCTCTTCTATCGAGATTTTTATACAAAAGTCATCAAAAATTTTGGGTTTTTACCAAAAAAAGAGCAAAAATATTGTGAAACAGTAATAGTGATGACCATAAAAACTGTAAAAATTAATTTTCAGAACACCCTTGGTAATCTACACCAATTTTTTTATATTTTTTTGGAATTATCAAAAATTTGCATATTCAAATTTTATGCAAATTTTTTCTTGGAATATTATTGTTGACATCGGGAGGGCTAAAAATACCGTACGCTTGCTTTCGCTTTCGTTTATCTCCTTATGGCGAGCTTAATGCGCGGTATCGGCTTAAAAACATTTATAAAATTAGATGACAAATTGG